GTTTTTTTTTTTTTTTTTTTTTTTTTGGCACAGGTTCTCCCTAAATTGTCCAGCTTCCCAGGCTGGGCTCATATTTGAGCTGGGCAACTTAGTGACTCAGGGAGACCCTGTGTCAAAAGGAAGTCAGATTAAATTTGAAAGGGCTGGCGAGGCAGTTTGGTGGGAAGGCCCGAAGGCCCGGGGTGCCCTGCTCAGTACCTGAGAAAGAGTGAATAGCCGCTGACCTCTGAGGAGCGCTTGGCCCAACGACTCCCCCAGGGCGGCATCGCCGACCCCAGGTCCTGCTCCCCAGAGCCCAGCCGGCCCCGCCGAAGGCGCCCACGGGCGAGCGTTGCTATATAAGGCGTCGTCGGGAAAGAGCGGTGACTTCACACCGAACCCTTTTGTGGAGGACCGTGGGAGAAATCCCTGCCTGTTCTCGGGACCAAAAATAGTTGCGCCTTCTCCGGAGCAGCTGGCGTACTTTTGTTTCAGGAAACGGAGAGCCGCATAAATGACCAGCTTTCTCTTTCTGAGGTGGCTGTTTGAGGAGCTTGGAGCCAAATTTATGGCCCGACCATATGCTGGTGGGGTGGGTTTGAAAGGATGCGTTTTTCTTAGCCTCACTTCTGGCTCTGTTTTATGTCCCCATTGTAGGAGGTTTGGGGATTTTTTTTCTTCCCCTTTTACTCCCTTGAGGCGGGCAAAAAATTAAACTGGATTTTAAAAACTCAAGGCCAGGTCAGACATGGTTGCGAATGTCTGTAATCGCAGCACCTGGGAGGCTGAGGCAGGAGAGTCGTTGTGAGTTTAAGTCCAGACTAGCCTGCAGAGCAAGACCCTGTTTTAAAATTTTTAAAAATAATAAATAAAAGAAAAAAGAAACAAAGAAAATCTCTATGAAGCTGGAGCACAGTGTTGGGTGCCTGTAATCCCAGCTGTTCAGGAAGCTGAGGCAGGAGGATCACAAGTTGAAGGTCCGTCTGGGCAGTTTAGCAACACTATTATCTCAATATCTCAAAAATAAGAAATAAAAGTAAAGGGCTGGGGATATAGATCAGTGCAAAGGCCCTGGGGAAAAGTGAAGGAGGAGGGGG